GCATTTTTTATATGTCAAGTTGATTTCTCTCCCAATTAGAGTCATGGCTTACTTTACAGAATTACAGTTCTATTTCTCACTTCTCCATCTCTCTTGAAAAAACATACAGGCAAAAGCAAAATGTTTCCAAATTACTTACTCCAAACCATCCCTGTTGATTCAGAAAATTTACTTGTTTGTTATTACCTTCATTTGCAGGCTTTAGATGCGATAACCTGAGAAGATCTTTATGGCACCAGCCATTTTTCTTCTTGTATGCTGTCACTGCTAAAGCAATAGCCATGTCATTCTTTCCATTGTACCAAACTGAAACAGCTTTTCTCAGGGCACGGCCCCACATGCCACAATTCATGCCTTCCTTCAGATCCTTTTTAAACTGGATGAAAGTGAAGAGGTGGGTTGGTATATGACAAATTTCAGGGACAGCCTTATAAGCTTCTTGTTTGGTTTTGGCATCAGAACATTGTGAACAAATGGCAAGTGCAAACAATACTGGATCCTGTTTGGCTGCTCTACCTTCCTGGCTGAACGTCTTTATTTCTTGTACTGCTTCATAACCTTTGCCATCTTCAATAAGCCTCAAAAGAGCATCTACACTTTCAAAGCTCAGTTTTTGTTCCTTGACATAGAAAGCACCTCCTTCGGAACCAAAACACAAGAAACGGCGCAGTCTAGTCATGTCTGTAACTTGCCACCCGCATTCATCTTCAGAGTTTGATAGCTGGTTTTCATTGCAGGGCTGCATTTGACTTGCTCCTTCGTCCATTGCTTCTCAGTATAAAGAAGTCTCCTGAAGAAACACAATAAAATTATTTAATCTGTCTCAAATCTTGACTTTATGGCCAGCTTTATTAAGACAATTACTCAAAACATTTCTTTCAAAATAAATTTGGCAACATTTTAGGAAAAAGGTGTTCAAACTTCAACTAAAACCTTCAGAATGAGAATCTGTTACATGCAAAATATACTAGATACAGTAAGTATAAGAGATTATCTCAATTTCCAAATAAATATTCATTGACATGATTCTACAAAAAAATCCCTAAATGAGCCAATTTTCTTTGTATAATGCTAGTGAGTTAATATTTTAATTTTTTCTTCAATCCCAAATAAGGTTTTATAACACAGAAAGGACAATGGATTCAGTTGAATAAAAAGAATATTTTGAACTTTTGGAGCCTTGGGGGTGCAGTGGTTAGAATGCAGTACTGCAAGCTACTCCCACTGCAATTTGGCAGATCGAATCCCACCAGGCTCCAGGTTGACAGCCTTCCATCCTTCCGAGGTGGGTAAAATGAGGGCCCGAATTGTTGGGGGAAGTATGCTGACTCTGTAAACCGCTTTGAGAGGGCTGTAAAGCACTATAAAGCAGTATATAAGTCTAAGTGCTATTGCTAATATCATAATTTCTTATGTATCCTATGGTGGCCTATGTAATTAGAAGCTTTTCTACCATTATAAACATAATCAGTGTACTTGCA